TTTAGAGCTAGAATGAATTTTAAATGCTATCTAGTCCACACATTTGGTTTTACAGATGCGTTTTTTTTCAGAGTACACTCATAATGTTTTCTTCATAACCGTTCTTTAGCATAACTCCCATACGTAGTTGGTGAAAGAATCAGAATCTAACTCTCCTACAACTATATTTCCCCTGACATGTACTGACCTTCTGACAGTTGCCCCAAATATCAGGCAACTAAAAATTATAGCGCTAGTCAGATATTCTGTGTAATATATTGGATAGTGGTTCTCAAACTTAATGTTGAATAAGCCTCACCTGGGAAGCTTGTTTTTTAATATGTAGGCTTTCTCAGCTTACCTTCCGAGATTTTGGATCAGTAGGTTTGGAACAGGGCTGGGAAAAATCTGTATTTTTAATGACCTGGTGATTTTGAAGTGTGTCGCCTGGGGCACTGACCTTAAAAAAATGACGATTTCAAGGGGCAAAGTGATTTTAACAGTCATCTCTAATGCTTTATTTCCTATAAGCTTCAGAAAAGAGTAAAAGTCTACTTGGGTTGTTCCTTTGAAGAATTTTTTTTCCCTCTTACATGGATGTAAAGGCAGAGGACAGAAGCTCAGTGATTATTTTTGTTCCTCTGTCATTAGAACCTTGGGGTCATTATGATAAACTCATTGAATCTATGTAACTTTATGGTTACTACACATGATGAAAGAAAATGTGTTTCAAACTGAAACAAATTAAAAACATTTGGACAAGATGCTAGCTTATCACTGCTGAGATATTACTAAATTCGACGCTGAGAATATTAGAATGTTCAGTATTCATGGAGAGCCCTGGCATAGTACTCATGTATAATGAGGCACTATTTCTTCTTTAGCAGCTGGCATGTTCTCAGATGCTACCTGTCTGATTATGCATAGGTGCTAAGTGAATATTAAAAATTATGGGGGGAAGAGGCTTAGTAGGTTGAGTAGAATGTGTGTTAGGGTATAGCCTGTGGAGATTTTTTTTTTTTTTTTTACTGTGTAGTTGTATAGTTAACTCAGTAACAGGCTGGAATATGGTTTTAATGGAAAAGAAACCACTTGCCTTTAAAAGCATTATGTTCTGCTGAAAGTTCATGCATGACTAGTTTATTCCAGGTCTTTGGCTATGTCAGTATAAAGCTAATTCATTATATAAAAATGGACAATGGTCTTGGTTAATGGAATATAACAGTTGGGAAGAGAATTTTTTGCAAGGAAATAATACACACCTTGGAAGTCTGAAGGACAGGAAGCCACCAATACCACATTTGTTTGTTTTTTAAGTAATTGCAAGTAAATTTGCAAATACAGTGCTACTTTTAAAAAGTATTTAGGGGTTATTTCTTTCAGGCATTGCTACTAAAATTTTTGTAGCCGGCTTACAGTTGAGGAACAAGAGGTTGAACTTCCTAGCGTTCTAATTGCAGGAATGTGATGTGAAGAGAATTTTTGTGAAGGAGTAGGCACAGAGACAACAGAACTATGACACAGAACATCTGTAGGTTATTAGTAAGCTCATACGAGGAACTTAAATGGTTTTTAATAATTTGGTATTTTAATTTAAGGACTTAGTTATAGCTTAGCCAGTCCCATTATCTGTCTGATAACATATTCTGTAATGATGACCAACTCCTATATGTATATTTTTTAAACTATTAAGACATGGAAAAGGTTCAGTGAGCCTCAAATCAACTATTTGCTAGGTTTAGATTATACATGCAATAAATGTATATATAGTTGTACTTACCTTTACAAGGTAAATACCTAAAAGCTATATGTAAATTGATTACTTTTGAATGTAAACAGTTTAAATAAAATTTGTAGTAAGTCCTTTTATTGTTAAAGTCAGGTAACGCTAACTTAACCTGTTTGTAAATTTGATTCTAAATACTATATTGGGCTTTTTCCAAAGTGAAACCTGTATATGCATATGGGATATAAGTATGCATATATGTACAAAAGCCCTTTAAAAGGAATTCACCTTCCTTCCATAAACACCAGAACTCACTGTGCCTGTAAAATGTTTTTGCTAACATTTGCATCATTCACTCAAGTTTACACCTTCATGTTCAAGATAACGCTGCTAGGACTATCTGTGCATGTAGATTTTTGTCAACTCCCTCTTAGCCCCCAATAAGTCAGCTAACTTTAAAAAAGATTGTGACCCTTTCCATAAAATAAATGTTCATAAAACAAATCAGCATATTTAGCTTATGCAGAAATCAATTTGTCCCCCACACACGAGAAATTTCTATTTTGTAAGAATGTAGCTTGTATTACAGAGTGCAATAAAATCTGGTGTAAGAAATAAACTGTTTTGAGTGGGTTAAGTGATTATTCTGAATGTCTTCACTTTTCTAGTGTCAATTATTTGAGGGGGGGTGGGAGAAGGGGGTGGTAGAAGGATGAGGTTAACAAGTTTTTAAAATGCAGTAGACATACGTTGGTGTATTTTAGTGAGATACGTTAACGTAACATAGAAAAAACCTACTGGAACCCATTATGGCCTTGTCTTCATTTTCTTTTTGCTTATGCAGCAGCAGCTATCACATCATGGGCTGTAGTAACCCTTTCAGTCTCAGTCAGATGAGGACCTTGAAAATTAACCTGTGACCTCCATAGGATTGATTACAGCATTGCCGAGAATTAGATATGTACCTATAAAATAGTAAACTATGTACATACAGTGTACACACAAAATCAAGATTCATCACAGCAAACTGGACTACAGTTCCACCTTTTAGACTGGACTGCTTAAAGGCAACCTGGGAATTAGTACCAGTTTGTGAAAAGTTTATATTCTCCAGTATCTTCTTTCACTAAATGTTGTTCTTCCTTTGTACACTTGATTCTTCTAAAGGTCAGAGTAGACCTTTAGTTTTCTTCCTGGAACATAATTTGAGTCTGTCATGTCTACCCTTAATCCAACCTTAAATCTCCCCTCTGCCCTTAAAACATCAGTATTTCCCCCCCTATTAAGTTGGCTTCCTTGGGTATTTAGTGACTTTACATAACACAATGTAACTCCAGTATCAATTATGAAGTAGAGTATTTACTTCATTTATTTTCATTTAATTATGGTACTTTGAAAAGGGAGCACCTTTTCAAGAGACAGCTGCCTTTCCTGGGACATACTTTTCTCCTCACTAAGTGTGTCACCTCAGTTCTCTCAAGGTTGATCTATCTAAAAATGGAAGCTTAACCAGGTCCCTTCTTGCCTGAAACCTTTCATTGGTTTCCTCTTCCTTACACACCAAATAAATAAAAGTTAACATGTAATATAAGCTGTCTTCTGTCTATGTGTCCATCTGAATACGTTCTCCCTCAACCCAAATACCCAGTTCTTCTGGTTGTCTGATGCATCTTCATGGCTCTAACTTTACTGAACTTCTCCCTCTGCCCAGAATGCCCTTCCTCTGTCATCTTTACCTGGCTAACTCCTGCTCATTCTTGAAGACCTCACAAAGGAGACCTCTCCAGGAAGCCCACTTCTCCCAATCTTTGTCAGGGCCTTTTGTGTACTGAATCCTGAATATCTGTCTCTCATAAGACCACAAGCTCTTCTGGGCTGGGATCGTGGAGTCTTTGTGGCTTTGTTTTCTTTTTTTTTATTTGTAGAAGCAAGTACAGGTTGCTGGCCAGTGAGGTTGGAGATGGTAGGCAGAACCATTGACACGTATCTACTTAGTTAATAGGGTAACAACCATTTTAAAGGCTAAACATGTAAAATTCTATCTGTGCCAGAAGTAGCTGCTGCCTGAGATGTTTGACCATTACCTGCAGGTCAGCGTGTGTCTTTCCTTCATCTCTTTCTGCTGCAGAGACCGAACTGCTGCATATTCTGTTAGATGCAAGTGTGTGAGCATTCATCTGATAGCCAGGTTTAAGAAACTGTGTCAACTTTACCAACTTAAACTGGCAAACATTAGACGTACAGTAATAAGGTTTATTTAGAATATGGGACTGTGGTGAGATCATGGTATCAAGACCTTTTCTGTCGTCCATGAATCCTTGTATTGTTTTGGAAAACTTTCATTCTCCTTAAGAAATTTCTCGGTCTCTCGAACTGGGATTCAGAACTAAAAATGTCAAAAATATGAAATACCTGTTCATTTTTCTGATCCAGTATTTATTTCAGTTTCTAAAGACAGTCCTTTTTCCTGAGAGACCTATGTCATTATAAATAAACCATCCTCTCAGCCAGATCTGCCAAGCAGTATTGTGAGTCCTATTACTACGAGAGTAACTTACTGGTAATTGGACTGCAGCAACAGCCTGATTTGTACTACAAAGATAGAAATCACTGCTGCTTCATGCGCAGTGACCACTTACTGAAAACAGATCAAAAAGGGTATGAAGACCTGCTTTCCAGAATGTCAGTGAAAGTTCTTCTTCCCCACAAGTCTGATTTATCTTTGACTTCATTTTCCCTGTTTATCCTAATGCTCTTTATTTATGAGGTGACTCCTAACATAGGGCAGCCACCTGTTAATTACATACCAGCACAAACTATAAATAATAAATTTTCTGTGAGCTACCATTTAGAACTTTATAATGTTTGCTCTCAGGTAAATTACATCATAAGTCCTGCCTTTTTTGTGTTTTTACATGGGAACTTTGGGGCACATTTACAAGACGGGGAGAACAGTAAAGGTTAAGAACAGTGGAGGAAGGCTACCTGAGTGGCTCGGTCGGTTGAGTGTCCCAACTCTGGATTTCAGCTCAGGTCATGATCCAAGGGGCTATGGGATCAAGCCCCGTGTGGGGCTCCACGCTGAGTGTGGAGCCTGCTTGGGATTCTCATTCTGTCTCTGCCTCCCCCTCCCTTCCCCTCTCTCTGCCCTCTCACACTAGCTCGCTCTTTCTAAATAATAAATTTTTAAAAAACAGTGGAGAAATTCTGTATAAATAACAACCAAAACTTCATTATTTTAGTGACTTGATTAAAAGGAACTCAATTGTACAGTTGAGATCTTTGACATTGTAAATGATTTTTCATGTTTATTTTAAAGTAGCTTGGGAAGTTAGTCTTACCAGCAGGCCTTATAGGCAAAGCAAAAGCAAATAAAAAATAGCAAGTAATAAAATAATTGTTAATGACATTTTTGACTTTACCCTTTAAGTACATTTGCACATTCTGGATAAAGTTCTATGAAGCATTTGAGAGACTCTGTTAAAAGTGTCTCGAATAACATCATTCAAATCGAATATAAAATACTTTGTGGTCCGTTCAGCATCAAGATGCCTCATACTCTGGTTGTGTCTTGAGTTAGTTCTCCTCTTTCAGCACCTGCTGTGTGAGGTGATTTCACACCATGCCCAGGATGCGGGCCACCCACCAGCTGCAGGGCATGACCACCCTGCAGGCAGAGCGGCAACCTTGATAGTTGTAAGGCCACGGATAGTAGCCCCCCAGAGGCTCACAGATCTTCTGGCAATGAGTGTAGCTCCGCCTACATTCTATGCAGCAGATTCCTTCGTGGTCCAGTCTAGGGTCAAATGTCATGCCTTCCCCTTCCTGCTGCTGTGAAAGAAAAGGTAATTATGTTTTCTTCATAATGAGAATTCTGTAGCATACACATTATTTAAAAATATGATCCTAGGGGCGCCTGGGTGGCTCAGTCGGTTAAGCGTCTGACTTCGGCTCAGGTCATGATCTCACGGTTCGTGGGTTCGAGGCTGTGTCGGGCTCTGTGCTGACAGCCAGCTAAGAGCCTGGAGCCTCTTTCAGATCTGTATCTCCCTCTCTTCTGACCCTCCCCTGCTCACGCTGTCTCTCTCCTTCTCTCAGAAATAAATAAAACATTAAATTTTTTTTGAAAAGCTATCAAGAAAAATAAGATCCTGAGTTTTTCACTGTTACAACAAATAGGCATAATTTTCTGTAAGAAGTTTTCAGGTTTATAATCTGATAATTCAGAATTCCTTCTAAAAACTCAGCCTCCATCTGTCACTGGCAGGAAGGTGGTTTTGTTTTTTTGTTTTTGTTTTTTATGCCCTGAAGTTTCTCCATACCTTTACTGAGCCATGGTTACCTCTCAGTAGTGACTCATTTTAAATAGATTAACAAAAAGGAAAGCATGATTCAAAAGTGGCATTTCTGCCACTGCTAATTTAGTGGAACACTGGTGCCATTTTGTACTGGTGGCCTCCATGGCTCTTGGAGCATCTTTTGAAACTCATTGCTAAGCCGAAAGATTGCTATTCTAATTGCACTCGCTGAAAACGCTGATGTCTTCAGCTTCTGCCTTCATTTCCACATAAGGGGTCTGTAACACTCAGGAAAAGGCACCATAAAATGTGGAAAAATTCAAGACCTTAAACTTCCTAGTTTCTATGTGCCATTATTGTAATTACATAAACAGAATCACGGAGTAAAAATCAACTGTACAGTCCCCATTTTCACTACTGGACAGCTATCACAGAACTGGAAGCCACTTGACCTCTGTCAGACTTATGTATCTGGTTTTCCTTTTCATAGACTTCAAGGGGTATAGATTTTGTAATACACTATTGAATTGCATTGCCCAGAAGCCCTTGATGTATATTCCTTATTCAGTTGAAGTCTCTTTCCTAGAGTAACTGAGCCTGGGGAGATGCAGCACCAAACACAGGTTAGGCTTGAGCAGAGTGAACCTAGCAACGCTTCTCACCTCTTCTGGTATACAAAGAAGACTTCTTTTTGTGGGGGAGAGGGGTGCTTTTTACTATTAGGAGTATCAAACATACTCCAAAGTGGAGAAAACTGTGTACTGAACATCATCTAGTTTTGTCAGTTGCTAACCTTTTGTCAGATTTGCTTGACTTTTTCTTTTCCGAAGTATTTTAAATTTTGAAGTGAACTTAGAATGGAAGGTATTGTGACATTTCACCCGTAAATTAGAACGCACCTCCAAAACAGTATTTTCCCTACACAACTACCCTACCATTACCATACCTAATAAAATTTATTCCTTAACACCATTTGATATACTCTATGTTCAAATTTTGTCATCAAAATATTTGTCTTACTCAAACCATTCTTTTTTCTTCTTCTTCAGGCTCTTCTCATTTTTTCCCCTTATTTCTTGAACTGGCTTCATCAGGAACCGCAAAAAGAATACCACCTAATTAATTGTAGCTGACTCTTCCAGGGCAGCGGGAGTCAAAAAAGCCTTTTGGCTGAGGCATTCCCTCATCTGATAGTTCAACAAAGGTGTGTTAGGATTTAAAAGCCGGGAGGAACTCTCAAGGATATTTCCTCTCCAAAGATAGATATTTCCTTAAAGAAACTTGTGAAGGATTGAGGTAATGGGGAGATGTTTCTGCTTAAAACTGAGCATGAAGGGGAAAAAAAAACTGATACAATTGGAGTTTTTCAAGGAATATGGATTTCTCAAATCTGGAGGCAAAACAGACACAGTCACACACTGCCCTTCTGTGATGGAGCTGATGCCCTCCTCATCCCTTGAACCAGATTTAGCTAGCCCAGCTACCTGGGGAGTAAACTATATTAAATTTTCTGTTGGCCTATTCAGATTTTATTTCTCTTTTATTATTTGAGCTTCAGGGAATGAAGTACTAGGGTGTCCTGAATTTTCTAATAAGCCATGGGTTATTTTAAAAAATACAGTTTGCTCTAAATCTTTATAAAATTCATTAATCCAAAATGATAGACTAGGAAAAAAATGAAACCGTGTAGGACTGTTTATGCTAAATAGGAAAACTGTTGCAAATGAATTGCCTGTCTATGAAAAGATGCTTAACCTTACATATAATTAAAGATAGGCGAGCTAAAACAATGAGGAGATAGTTTTCACAGCCAAGAGACTGGTGAAGACTTTTTTAAAGTTTGAAAATAAATGGGTCCCTCTCATTATCACGGGAAGACATGTAACTGGCATAATTCCTTGGGAAACAGTTTGGCATCCTCCCATTAAATAAAGTAAAATTTCCATCTCCTTTGACCCAGTCTACCCATACATCAGTATTTATGCTAAAACCACATTCCCACATGGGTACAAGAGACATAATAAGACTAGTAATTAACACTGAGCTTTTAATGCCTGCTGTGTGCCAACCATTGTGCTAAAAGCTTCACCTGCATTACCTCATTTACTCCGTCCCATAACCCTGTGGGAAGTGTACAAGGTTGTTTACAATTAAAAGTATAAAAACAAAAGATAGGGAAATAATTTACATGTCCACCAAAGTAGAACCAGTTAAGTTTCTGTACATCTATCCATCCACACAAATGGACTATGATGTGGTCATTTAAATGAATGAGGTAGGGGTCCACTGGGTGGCTCGGTTGAACAAGTCAGCTCTTCATTCCAGCACATATCATGATCCTGGGGTCGTGGGATCAAGCCCCTCAGCGGGCTCTGCATTGAGTGTGGAGCCTGCTTAAGATTCTCTCTCCTCTCTCTCTCTCTCCCCACCCCCCTTCTGTCCCTTTCCCTGCTCACACTCACTCTCCCTCAAAATTTTTTTAAAAATTAAAAACGTTTGGGGCACCTAGGTGGCTCAGTTGGTTAAGTGACTGACTCTTGATTTTGGCTCAGGTCGTGATCTCATGGTTTGTAAGACTGAGCCCCATGTTGGACCCCACTTAAGATCCTCTGTCTCCCTCTCTCTCAGTCCCTCTACCGCTCATTCTCTCAAATAAGTTTTAAAAATAATAAAAAGTAATAAAATGAATGTGGTAGATGTACATAGAAGATACAGACCTGTCTCCAAAATACTGTATTGTAACTGGGAAGAAAGCAAGATACAGAAGTGTTGTATGCTCTTCTGTGTTAAAAGTGTGTGTGGGGTACACTTTCTTATAGAAAGAAACTGGGCAAATAGCTATTATTAATATGTTGCTCTAGGGAAGGTGTCTGAGGTGGAAGGGAAACACATTTCATTGTGTACCCTTTTATACTTTAAAATATATATACGCATGTATTATTTTTTCAGTTAAAAAGTTACAAAAGATGTAATGCTCTTACTCCCTACAGAGTATAGTAATGGTAAATAATATTTTGTTGAAGATTTGAGAAGTTTTTAGTACATTAGTTTCATCTTACAAACACCAATTCCCAGTGTTTCTGTCTAAGGTGTTTCATCTGTGTATGAGTCTGTCTCCCTCCTGGACTGAGAGCCCCTGAGGGCAAAAGTTACCTCCTGGCTGTGTGCACAAGGCCAGGAAAAGAGCAGGTTCTCAACAAATGTCTGCTGAATGGATAAATAAAGTGGATATAAAAGGGGAAAGAGAATACTTTCATTCTGTATGTTATCCTCAGGGCACATTCTTAGAAACACTTTTTTGAATAATCAAATTCCTGATATGAATTTGTCTTTATGGATTTGCCTCTGACTCAAAAAAAGGAGAGCACAGAAAACGACTTTGAATAAGGGTTCCAACCCATCTGGATTTCGCACTACAGAGACCACGCTTAAGTGTCTTACCCTCATCGAAAATTTTGCAACAAACAAATTCAGATGTCTTTTTTAAGTAATTGGTAAAAATCTAAGTTAAATATTAAATGCTCGTTTGAAACCTCAAGTAGAAATAACAACCGCTTCAATGTTACGTTCAACGGATTTGTCTGAGCAGGTCATGAAGACATCGGTACATACGTGGTAAGGGTTGTCTGGATTGAAGGGGTCTGAATCCTCCTGAACACTAGGTCTCGTTTCATTATTTGGTTGTCTAGGGCCTGCGTTGCGCCGTGGTCCGCTGGGTGGTCTCCTTGTGGTAGTTGTAATGACTTTTCTTACCAACTCTCTTCTTTCTCTCTGGATTTCTGCAAACACAACAAAACAAAACACCCCTGTAAGTTAATTCATTTATTTGGATAATTAAGGAAGTACTATATCAGAGTAAAAGCATAAAAGGATATCAAAAACATTTGACTAAATACTGAAATTTGTGTTGATGATCTTTTAAATAATAAAGCATATTTCAGAGTCTTAGGTTAGTAAACAAACAGATAACCAGAATTTGGTTTTACAGTCCTAATTGAGATCGGTAATTCTAAGGTAGCTGACAATCCATTCTCAATCCTTCTTTGCCTGTACTATCCCTCTCCTATAGGGGCTGAGAAAGTAAAATCTACTTGTTTCCCTAGGCTCCCTTACAATTCAGAGAGACCAAATGAAACATTTTGGGCCAGTGAGACGTAAGCAGAATATATTGGCGCAGTTTCTGGGAGAGCTTTTGCTTGCTTGGTAAAAGAGGACTGGGATAGCTTCCTCTGCCTTCTTTTCTTGCGCATAGACACATCTGGGTTGTGAGAGCCAATTTGTGACCAGAAGGCCTAGGCACAAGGATGATAACCAGGATGCGACGGGTAGCAGGACGGTAAGAGCCGTGTGATATCTCCGAGTAGCTGGTAATGCCAGAAGCCTCCCACTACGCTTGCTTCTTCCTGTATGAGGAAAGTCAACGTGCATCTGTTGAAACCACTGATGAACAGGTATCCTGTTAACTTTCAGCCCTGCGCATTGTTTTGCCGGTTTGTTTTTAAGTAAGCTCCATGCCCAGCATGGGGCTCAAACTCGCGAACCAGATATCCAGATTGCTATGCTTACCGGCTGAGCCGGCCAGGCATCCCAGCCGTGTGTGTTCTTAACAGATTGGCTATATATGTATAAAGCTTTACAATTTTGGGGGGAATTGTTATCTTGGTTGATTTCTTTTAAAAATCCTATGCGTGGGATAGAAAAGGCAGGTACTTTAGCACATGAAGGCATCAAGGCTCAGAAAGACCAAGAGACTTGGCCAGGAGCACAGAATGGGTGTCAGAGACAGGAGACAAACGTGAACCTCTCTGGCTCCCAGCCCAGTGCTCTGGTTCATCACACTACCACCTGGGTCCCACGGCTGCTGAATAACAAACATGGACAGTAACCACACAGGGTGGGCTTTGGTGTGTCTCTGAGTCAGAGTCATCTGTAAAATGGGGATAATGTACCTGAATTCACAGAATAGTGCAGGATAGAGGTGTACCTAAGAGTTTTAGTATATCATTTGGCATATAATAAGCACTCAGATGGTAGGTAATGATGATTATATCATGCAGTGTTATTTCTGAGAACTTAGATGTGCTGTACAGCCATGGGGAACTTCCGCAGACAGCTTCTGAGTTTCTGGGTTTATGGTTGGAGAGGCATCAGGGAGACCTGGCTTCAAATCTCAATACCACTTCTTTTAACTAACTGAATGACCTCAGGCAAGCTATTTAATCTCTGTGAACCTTGGTTTCTTCATCTATAAAATGGGAATATTTGTAGTCACCCGGACAGTTGTTGGCAAAGAGTAACTGGGCAAAGCTGTAGCACAGTGGCTGACACATAGCCAGAGCTCGGCAGACCCTCACCCTTCCCTCGGACTTTGTCCAGCGACCACTGTCTCTTGGTAACACAGGTCTGTGACCCTGATGACCCGCCAGATTAAGGATCCAAGGGCAGAGGTTGCTAGAGTTGGGGAGCTTTTATTAGAATTAGGTGGTCGAGACCATCCTGAGAGGGGATTTACTTTCTTGATTTTATTGTTAAATCTGACATTTATGAAAGACTGAAAAAAAATCCTCATCTTTAATGTGTGTAATCTGCCCCCTGGCTGTACCACAGTTACTTAAACCTTTTCATCGCTGGGGGCACTTGGTGGTTTCCACTTTTCTGGTGTTGCACGTAATATATGTAATTCTGGGATGGGTGTTGTGATGATTGAATACTTAAGATGTGGTCATGCCTGTGGGCTATGAGGGACCGGGCTCCATCTCAGAGGTAGGGAACGCGCTCTTTCCCAAAGGGCGAAGGTGGTCAGACTCGCACCGCCTTCACGTCCGCACTCCTACCCTCTGTCCTGCTCTGGCGACAAGGGTAAACTTCTGTTCACAGATGCATCCCCACTACCCACTACCGGCAACAAGTAAAAGGCACATAGGAAGCCTTCAAAAAACGTTTGTTGAATAAATGAATGAACTCACTGGGTAAGGGGCTTGTCCTCGCAAACAGGGATTAGAGAGAGCTCTACAAGGTAGCAGAGTCTGAGGCGCTGACTGGGCAAGGGGACAAGTATTGGAAGAGTAGTTCCTGGGAGTGGAAAGCAAGAAGGCCCATTCCATGTGGAGGCGGGTGAGGAACCGAAAGCCAGACCGCGGCAAAAGGCCAGAGTTGGGAGTCGCAAGCGCCCCCTGGAGCAAGAACAGGGAGGGCGAAGGTGCTGGTCCATTTGGCAGCCCCCTCTCTGGCCCCTAGGAGGTGACAGACACTGCTCATGCACGTGGCCCCAGGGTCCTTCTCAACTGTCTCTGCCAGTGGTTTATCAACTGAATCCTATTCGCTTTGCCTGGGCCAGAAAGCAACTATCTTACATCAGCTTTGGGACATAATGAGATTTTGATCTAGAGGAATAAATCAGCGATGGCAGAATCAGAAGCCTGAACTTTCTAAGCCTTGTCAGGTTTTTTTTTTTTTTAATTATGCTAAAATATACGTTAAAATTTACCATTTTAGCATTTTTAATTATACAATTGAGTGGCATTCGGTGCATTCACACTGCTGTGCGAACGTCTGTCTCCATAATTTCTTCCGTGTTGCGGAATTGTAACTGCACCCTTTCAAAAATAACTTCCCGTTTCCCCCTCCTAAGCCTGGTGGTTTTAATGCCTGTATTTTATGTCCATGCTGCTCTCTCTGTGTCCAATAAAATCTCCCAGAAAACAGTATTATCTCCGCTGTGTTGAAAGAAAGGCCCTTTTCCCACACTTGAGTCAGAACTGCAAAGTAGGCCTTTGGGGGGTCAGTGAGGTGACTGGTGGCAATGAAGAGTGAAGGTGCCCCCGGGGATGGAGAAATTTGGCCCTCAGAGCTCACCTGCCCTTCACCACCCACAGATGGCTCAAAGGTGTGCTCCAACAGGGGCCTTTCATTTCTTTTCACCAGACATAGGAGCTGATGTTCAAGCCTTGAACTTGAAGAATCTCAGCCTATGCCCACAGCAGCTTTCGGCTGCCCCATAATTCTAGGTGTGAGTATAATAAAGATTCAGCAGTATGACAGCTTCTTAGTCCCTTGATTCTCTGCCTTCAGAATAAAATAATGTAAAATTGGAAAGTGCAAACAACTCAGATTAAGGGGCAGAGCAGACGGGAGGGGGCGCGTCATAAATAAAAATGGCAGACAATGCAGCGGCGGTGTGTCTCCCTGGTCTGCTTCCTGTTAACCCTGCCGCTCAGTCCCTTCCCTAAAACATTCATGGCCGTCACCTTCCTTCACCTTCCTTCTCTTTGATCTCTCTTGCCAATTACTGAGACACTGTGACTTGCATCCTGATGCGTCTTCCTCGTTACATGCTCAGGCCTGTGGAAGGGCTCAGGAAATATACCAGCAGCATTAAGAAAATTTAAACTGTTACCTTTTGGATATGTTGGTTTAAGCCAGAAAATGGGAAGGTCGCCACAGAGTTCTAAGACCTTAGAACTCAGGAAGCTGTTGTCCTTCACGGGCTGGTCTACAGCCACCCAGATAAGAGAATTTTCTTCATACTTAACTGGCATGATCTTGCCTTCCTGTAAGTAAAAATGAAATGCATTGAGCAGAGAGGACAGTGAAACTTGCTGCATATTTACGAGTCACGTGCTGGTAAAACATTATTTCACCTAATAAAAACTTGAGAATTGTGTGTGTGGTGTGTGTGAGGGTTATGTGTGGTGTGGTGTGTGTGTGTGTGTGGTGAGGTTTAGGTGGGGGTATGTAGAGTGGGGGCTGAGTGTAGAGGTGTGAGTGTAGGGCAGTATTGTAGGGTTGTGTGGTGTGTGTGTCAGGTGTCAGTGGGGGGGGTAGGTAGTGTGTGTGGAGTGAGTGGGGTAGAGGGTATGTGTGGGTTGGGGGGGTGTCAGTGGGAGGTATATAGTGTGGGGGTGTGTATGTGGGGTATGTGTAGGGGTGTGAGTGTGAGGGGGTGGTATGTAGTGTGTGTATGTGGTGTGTAGGGGAGTATGTGTGGGGATGGTGTAAGGGTGTGTGTGGTGTGTATAGGGGAGTATGTGTGTGGGAGGTGGTGTGTGTAGGGGTGTATGTGTCGGGGGGTGGTGTCTGTCAGGAGCATGTGTGGTATGTGTGTGGTGTGTATAGGGCAGTATGTGTGGGGGGTGGTGTGTGTAGGGGTGTATGTGTGTGTGGGGGGTGTGGTATGCATGTGGTGTATATAGGGGAGTATGTGGGGGGGGTGTGGTATGTGTGTGGTGCATATAGGGGAGTATGTGGGGGGTGTATGTGTGGCAGGTGTGTGAGGTACGCTTGTGGTGTATATAGGCGAGTATGTGGGGGTTTGTGTATGTAGGGGTGTATGTGTGTGTGGGGGTGGTATGTGTGTATATATAGGGGAGTATGTGGGGGGATAGTGTCTGTAAGGGAGCCTGTGTGTGGTGTGCGTAGGGGAGTATGTGTGTGGGGGGTGGTGTGTGTAGGGGTGTATGTGGGGGGGGTCTGTAAGGGAGCCTGTGTGGGGGGTGGTGTGGTGTGGTGTGGTATGTGTCTTGTCTTTGTAGCTCTCTTCACAATACTGTCTTTGTCCCGCGTGCCGCCCTGCCTTGGATAACTGAAATGTGTGAATATTGAGTGTCCTGAGTGGAAGTGAAAATTACTTGATACCAACTTTGAGATTTAGGTTAATCTGATGTTTTTGATCAAAGATTTTTTGAGGAAAAGCTATTGAATGGACTCTGAAATCCTATAAAGGAGAGAGGAGCCCTTCATTTGAAGTGAAAATCCTTTGGGGTTTTGTTCTGCAGCTTCTGAACAACAATGGAAGAAGCAAGTGATTGGTTCTTTAATGTTTTCAGTTCAAAGTATTATTTAACATAAACCGTTTCTACATTTCCCAGCTATAACAAAACACATTTCAGATGTTCCTCACATCAAGCACACCACTGAGATTTCAAAGCTAAACCCTAGATTTTCTTCTACAGCGAGATACTGAAAATGGTCTGATAACCCAGGAGACAAATTTATTTTGCCAGGTTGTTCCTCTCATATATTTATTAATTTGCAATAAGTTGGAGAAATTAAAATGTTTTCTCCATATTTTTAACTAAAAGCAGGGCTTCATTTATGCTTTCTCCCCCAGGCTTATGGTTGCATTAAAACAACTTAAAGTTATTGGAGGAGGCTAACACTCAGGTAATCTAGTTATTTGCCTTAAATTAAATGGCTCCATCCAGGAAATGAATACTCTTTGGGTATAGCAGCTTTTTAAAGTTCTATAAAACTGACGAAAATTTTATAAGAGCAAGTGGTACATAAATCTACTCCATCATAATCTAAAGCATGTGGGGAAAGAGTGGGGCGATGGGGATAAGGCATGCATATGCATCTTACAAGCTAGGAATGTTAAATCAACTTAAGGCACACGGTCTCTGTCTCGGCTGCCCAAGCAAGCCTGTCTCTCCCTGCCCTGGGCAACACCGTCCCACTTCTGTGTGAGGCAGCAGTGTCCCCTCCCTAGGAGAGAGGCTGGCTGCTCGCTTTTACAGACCCTCCAGTGGCTTGGGGTGCCCTAGACTATGCAGTGCACACTGAAGTATAGTTGGGGGCTGAGAACCTCCTGATTTTCCTAACTAAAGGGAAGTCATGCTTGGCATTGCTCAGCCTCTTCCTGACTTCCATACTTGAATGCACGGTTGATATTTTGAAGCTGGAAGGAAAGGCCAAAAGAAATCAGCGATGCTGGCCACGGAGCCAATGCCTGCAGCCACCTCCTTCCACATCGCCTACTATGAAGAACACCAGATCGTTTTTGTTTAAGTCACTCTGAGTGTAGTTTCCTGCTGCTGCCAGCCAGACACGTCCTGATTCACATGAACACGTTGCCTGAATTTGACTTGTCCACCAGAGGGTCCACCAAGCACAATATAAACAATTAAAACCAGAAAAAAATAAATCACCTCTATGGTCTGAGAAAAGAATCAGATGCAGGCAAAGCTTTAAAATGCTAAACTGTTCATCACTGAATTATTTCTATATTCAAATAATTATTTTGAATTATTATTTGGTATAGTGAAAAATTGAAGATGGCTGAAGTATTCGAGAGCAAAAGACTTAAATTATAATCATCTGATGATGTGTAATACCTCCATTATCATCTACATTTTAGAATAACTAAAGTTAAGTGAAAATAGTAAGAATGTAAAGCAATATAACTTCAATTATGAAAAGAAAACACCCCCCCCCCACGCATGAAAAAAAGTTCACCAAAACATTAACATTAGTTATCTGTGGATTATACAATTGTGGATGATTTTCTTCTCTATTCTATGTAATTTCCCAATTTTCTACAATGACCAAGTATTGTTTCTAAAAATCAGAAAAAAAAAAAAAACCTGCTTGTTTTTAAAAGACCCCAGAAATGTCCCATGAGCTTATAATTAGATCTTGGTCAGCTGTGGTAGGAGAGCTGGCTCTTCTGGAAGGCAAGACAGAAGAACTAGTTCTACGTCCACTTAAGGAGGAAATGTACAGGCTTGTGTATTACAGAAATCGTCATAGGACTATAAAAAATGGTAATGCAGTAAGAGAATTTCAAGCGTCGGGGCGCCTGGAGGACTCAGTCGATTAAGGGTCCGACATCAGCTCAGGTCATGATCTCGCTGTTTGTGGGTTCGAGCCCGGCGTCTGGCTCTGTGCTGACAGTTCAAGAGCCTGGAGCCTGTCTTCTGATTCTGTCTCCCTCTCTTTCTGCTCCTCCCCCACTCGCACTCTCTCTCTCAAATATAAATAATATTTTAAAAAGTTAAAAAAAAGTTCAAGGGTCAGAACGAAGGAGATCTTGGTCTCGTTTTTTTTTGTTTTTTTTTTTAATATTTTTATTTATTTCTAGGAGAGAGAGAGAGACAGCGTGAACAGGGGAGGGTCAGAGAGAGAGGGAGTCACAGACTGAAACAGGCTCCAGGCTCTGAGCTGGCAGTCAGCACAGAGCCCGACGCGGGGCTCAAACCCACGAACCGCGAGATCATGACCTAAGCGAAAGTCGGACGCTTAACCGACTAAGCCACCCAGGCGCCCCTTGGTCTCGTTTTTATACTCTGTACTAGTAGGTTCACACTGAGAGCTTGGCCTTTTGTTCTGAAAGACACAGCTCTTGAAGGACAAATTGGAATATGGTCACAACCAAACACCGGGCAGTGAAGGTCTGGAAACCATCCGACAGGATGAATGGGGAAACCAGGAGCCGAAAACTGGAGACAGGATAGCCAGCTTTAAAAATTCACTGGCTTGAGGGTGTTATGCTGAGCGAAATAAGTCAGGCAGAGAAGGACAGCTACCATATGTTTGCACGTATAGGAGGATTAGGAGGAAATTAACAGAGGACCGTGGGGGAGAAGAAGGGGGGAAGTAGCGGGGGAGAGGGAGGGAGGCAAACCATGAGAGACTCTTGAATGTTGAGAACAGACTAAGGACTGATGGGTATGGGGGGGAGGAAAAGGGGGGTGATGGGCATGAAGGAGGGCACTTGTGGGGATGAGCACTGGGTGTTATATGGAAACCAACTTGACAATAAACTATTTAAAAATAAATAGATAAAAAAAATAAAAATTCATCGGTTTCAGCTTTTGTTTTGCTTCGAGATGCCTGCTGCGCTGTGACTCCTATGACAGCAAACAGTGAGGCAGCTTCCAGGCACCTTTGCTTACCCTTATTTTTCTCTTTTGCCTTAAGGGAGCTGCTGCTTGCTTTCCCTCCCTCTCAGGGATACAGGAAAGACCAAAGCTGATCATAATGGAATTAGTGATTTACAGCAGCCATGTAGTTATTATCCAGTAGGTTCTAGAGCCACGAGGAAAGGATGCAGACCCTTAGTTTGTAGATGACAAAACCAAGGTTCAAGAATTGAAGCCACATCCACAGCAAGTGTCAGAGCTGGGATTTGAACCCACATTTTTCTAACTCTGAAGTCTATCTTCCCACTATATCCTGCCACAGCTCAAATAGGAGACGATAATGCATGGAACCACTTCGTAAGCCCTAAAGTATCAAATAAATGTAACACATTAGATGTGTCTTTAGAACTCCGTGCAATTCTTAGAGTAAATTTTTATAAAATCAAGCTCAAAGGCAAGTTGTTAATAATAAATGGAAGATTTATACTTGAAATCCTCACAAGTCTGACATGTAGTAATTTGATACATGTTAAGGAGCTTCACTGGGCTGAACTCAAGGCAAGCGAAAGAAACCAGGGGAAGCCAGCTCAGCTCAGTGTAGGGCACAACGGTTTGAACTGTCCCCCTCCCCAGCAAGTTGCCTGGCACCCAGGGAAGGGAGCGCCCTGTCACTGCTTTCCAGCACATGCTGGATGACCGGCCATTGGAGATTTTCAGGAGGAGCCCCACACCGATTGGAAGTGAGGCTAGAAGGCTCCTGAGGCGCCTTTAATGATAATTTTGTTACGAGAAGTCCTTTGTATTGTTTTCATCACTAATCAGATAGTTTCCCAACATTAGGCAAACAGGGGCCTTGTGAAGACCAAGCCCTTTTATGTACTTTAAAATGTTTTGGGGCACCTGAGTGGTTCAGTAGGTTAAGCATCTGACTTCAGCTCAGGTCATGATCCCATGGTTCGTGAGTACAAGTTCCATGTTGGGCTCTGTGCAGACAGCCTTGATCCTGGAGCCTGCTTCGGATTCTGTCTCCCTCTCTCTCTGCCTCTACCCTGCTCGTGCTCTATCTCTTTCTGTCTCTCAGAAATAAACGTTAAAAAAAATTAAAAAATAAATAAAATATGGTTTACAGATGGGTCAGTCAGTTAAGCAGCTGACTCTCATCTCCGTTCAGGTCATAATCTCAGGATTCATGGGATTGAGCCCCATGTCGGGCTCTGTGCTGACAATGCAGAGACTGCTTGGGATTCTTCCTTTCTCTTTCTTTCCCTGCAAATCCCCTGCTCATGCTCTCTCTTCCTCTCAAAATAAACAAACATTAAAAAAGATGTGGTATACCATGTCTTATAAGAATGATCGCTTGGAATCGACAAGGTGAACCAAAAGGGTTTCAACTCCCTTGGCAGAGAGGGAATAGAGTTTATGTTCTGGTCACAAAACTATCCAGGAACTAGAGATGGAAAGGGCTGTGGATTCAAACGATGCCTACCAGACCCGATTGCGGTCTGAAGCACACGGGCGGTACCCACCAGTTCGGAGGAGATGCTCTGTTTGGTCGCGGTGCCCACCTCAGGAACGCGAGCTTTCACCTGGGCTTTGATGTAGCACTTTTCTCCTCCAGCAAAACGGATTCCGGTGATGCCCTAGGAAATAAAAGTTTATCCATCCATCTATCCATTCGTTCATTTATTCAATGTGTTGAGTGTCTACCATGAGCTGGGCACTGTTCCAGGCACTGGGTATGGGGATGAACAGAACATGTGGCGTGTCTGCACTCACAGAGCTCACCTCGTTGTGTTATTTACCAAAAATAAAAATCAGAGGAGAAGTCAGGTGGTGGCAAGCGCTACGGAGAAAAATAAAGCAGAGTGTGAGACAGGAATGACAGAGATGGCACTTTTGACAGCATGGTTGGGGAGGCCCCATCAGAGGCATGTGAGCTGACACAGAGTATGGCAGGCTCGAGCTGATGAGGGTCTACGGTGACCCTAGTTTCTGGCTCATAGTTGGCCTGTCGTCTCACTGTGTCCTCACGTGGTGTCCAGGAGGCTTTCTCTGACCCTGACTTCCAGTAAGCCCTCCAGTCTTCATTCCCTCCTGTGGCACTTAGTTCTCAGTGCCTGTGCCTTCGCTCCTTGTCAAGGTCCTGTCCCTACTCAAGGATAAGCCACTTTGACACTGGTATCAGCATCTTTTGTCTTTTTGGTGATCCCACAAAGGTTCTCAAAAGATGGGAGCCCAATTAATTAATTCCACGAATTCAGATCTTTCGTAAGTCACCGAGCCAGGGAAATAGCAATGCTTGTGACACCAGGAGCTGACCTTTATTCCTAGACTTTACCTGAGGACGCGGATACTTTGTTTTTGTCCCCTGTGAGACACAAACGGTGTCTCCTCCTTGTCAGCCTAGGGACCGGCCTCAAGGGAAGGCTCGTCCGTGGGGCTCCAGTCTTGGCTGACAGCTCGGCGCCGATGCTACCGCAAGTGCATCAGGCACAATGGTACGTTCTGTCCCAAGAGTGTTTCTTTTCACCCTGCTGGTGAATTTCATGACGAGCGAGTGGCCAGAAACAGTATGAAAGTGGGCAGAAACAGATTTTATGCCCGCAAACACCTCAACTTGTTAATCTTCTGTTCTGTTGAGACAAATGTCACGAAGATACAGAACTTGTCCCAGCATCAAGTGGGGAGGAAGAGCATTTAGAAACCTTGGAGTCCCGGCTCAGGACACTGTCCTCCTCAGTGAAGAACGGAGTTAAATGTAAGTCACACTTGAGGATACTCGTGGCAAGTAACACTGTTTGTAATCTGAGAGCCAGCAGCCCTACAAACGCTGGTGACAAAGCAGAGAGCAGAGAAGGAAAGGCTCGTTCTTCCCGAAGCTCCTCATGCTCTCCCTTGTGGCCTAATTGGCCACGTTCACCCATGGGACCCGTGTGTCTTAGCATCACCTCTCACCCAGAGAGTGGTGGTAGTAATATCCTCACTCTCTCCAGGAGGAGGGTCTCCAGGTTTACTGTGTGACTCCTCAACTCACTGCCCCAAAGCCACCTGGACAGATTTTTAAAACCACGGACACCTGGGGCTCTCCCCAGAGCTTCTGGTTTCACTGGTCCGGGGCAGCACCCAGACAGTGGGATGCTTCAAAGCTACCCATGTGGTTATGATGTAAAGCTGGGGTCTAAGACCATCGATTTAGGGAGAAAACAACTTGTTCAGGATAACAACATTTTTAAATGACTGAAACTGCCTGCTGTAGGTTGACTGTTTCTGTCCCCTCACTGGAATACCTATGTTGAAACCTAACCCCCAATGCAGTGGTATTTGGAGGAAAGGCCTTTGGGAGATTAAAGGCAGAGCTCAGGTGAGTGGGATTAGTGTCTCATAAAAGGGACCACAGAGAGCTCCCTCACCCCCCTTCTGCCACGTAAGGACACAGTGAGAAGACAGGCCAACTATGAGCCAGAAACTAGGGCCACCATAAACCCTCATCAGCTCGAGCCTTAATCCTGGGCCGCCCAGTCTCCAGAACTGTGAGAGATTCCTGCTGTTTAGAAGTCACTCCGTCTCTGATAATTTGCTAGAGCAGTGTGAATGAGCTAAGACACAGCCTCTGAGCCCAAGTTTCTTCTGTACCACCAGCTCACCAGTTTTCTCTTGCATCAAAATCACCTGGAAGACTTGATAAATAAAATAAGTGTTGGGCCCCACCCCCGAGGATTCTGATTCAGGTCTGGAGTGAGGACTAAGCTCTGCATTTCCAACAAGCTCTTAGGTGCTATGGCTGCTGGGGGCCTAAGGAACACATCTTGAGAACCACTGCTCTTTGCTCTCTCCTGAAGGCCTGCTGCTCTTAAATCTGCATGTAAATCTAGGCTCCTGGTTGGAGAAACAGAAGGGGGGCGGGGGGAACTCCTCTTCATCTCATACCCTCACATCCTCCGAATGAAATGCAAGGGCAAAACACCATACAGCCATCACCATATTCCCCAAGGAGAGAGTGGACTCTGTCGAAGGAGTCACAGCCCCAGCGTGAATGTTGTGTTGACTTAGTTCTGACAGTCTACGTGCTGCAAAGAGAACCGAAGCCCCATAGGGATGGGTCCTGTGGGAAGGAATTCACACATAGGAATCGCCTTGTCTGGCTACAGATCCATACCAAGCAGCCAGATTTATGAAGAGATTAAATAGTAGGAATGGGAAAGCACGAGAAAGCCAAGCAAACCTCCTGCTTGCAAACAAACAAGGCCTCAGAAGCTGGTGGTAATGAAGACATTTGCTAACAAAGATAATGAAGGAAGAGTCCAGTGCTCTCACATTCTTTTAACGAGAGTCAGGCAATCTCATTGTAGCCACGCATTTTTTCTTTCCAGAGAATCTCAGAATTTCTGTGGCTTCCACCAGAAGTTCCCAATAAGGGGTCCTTTCCCCAAGGAGGCACTTTAGAAATCATTCAGGGGATCCTGGGTTGTCACAAAGACTGGGGTCCCCCTGGGCTTTCTCAGGCAGAGCCCAGGGCTGCCGGGCCCCAGAGAGCCCAGGGATGCTCCCTTCCCCCGACTCCTCCCCACCCCCCCCAAAGACCTGACTGCCCCAGGGTCTGGCTGAGAAACCTGACTGTAAGTATCTATGCCTAGACTCAAACACCCTTTTACATATAAAGACAAAGTGACTTTGGGCATAGTTTCAGTGTACCATTGTGACATTGTGTACCATTGTGACATTCTTAGGAATGCAATTACCAAGAACATGGAGAGAAAATGGTAGTTTTGCTCACTGTTTGAGAAAATAGCCTGATGTTAAATCTGCCCACATGCACTTATGTCAGTCTGCATTTTAGGCTGTAGCATTGACAGCAATTCACCTATCGGAGCAAACATGTGACTTCAGGATGTTTTTGAGTACATCAGGCTTAGCATTAACATACTGAAGTCCAAGTTAGATTATAAATTACTTTGGTTTTATTTTTCTTTTATGTTTTAGTTGGGAGCCATATTGATTTTTTAAACTTCTTTTGAGTATGGTTGACACACAATGTGACGTTAGTTTCAGGTGTACAACATAGCGATTCAACAAGCATAGCTACCATCTGTCACCATACAACCTATTATGATACCATTGACTATATTCCCTATGCTGTGTCTTTCATCCCCGTGACTCATTCATGCCATAACTGGGAGCCTGAATCTCCCACTGCCCTTCATCCATTTTGCCCACCCCCTCTTTCCTCTTCCCTTTGGAAACCATCAGTTTGTTCTTTGTAGTTATAGCTCTGATTCTGCTTTTTGTTTTTTACTTTTTGTTTATTCATTTGTTTTTTAGATTCTATATGTAAGTGACATCCTATGGTATTTGTCTTTCTCTGTCTGGCTTATTTCACTTAGCATAATACCCTCTAGGTCCACCTATGCTATAGAAAATAGCAAGATGTTATCCTTTTTATGCCTGAGTAACATTCCACTTTATATCTATATATCTATATAATCTGTCTGTCTATCCATCTACCTATCTATGCCACATCTTCTTTATTCATCTAGTGATGGGCACTTGGGTTATTTCCATATCTTGGTTATTGTAAATAATGCTGCAATGAACATAGAGGTGCATGTATCTTCTCGAATTAGTGTTTTCATAGTCTTGGGGTAAACACCCAGTATTTTTAAGTTTTTGAGGAAGGGTTATATCAATTTTTGAAATCACTAACCTACCTATCTGTGAGATAGGTTATGCTACTTTATTTTTCTCTAGCTTTTTAAATTAAAACTTTCAAATAGACACAAAGTTAAAAGAAACTGTAGTGAACACTTGTATATGCCTATCAGTTTATTCTATCTTAATTTCTCACCAGGGTTATTATTATATAAATGAGTCATTAGGTCTGAGAGAGTTGGCTTAAACCAATAGCATCGATGCTTTTGAGGGTAAAACTTTCTAGAACATAACTCATACATTCTGAACACACTCCTTTTTGTATTCCTTGGGGGTACTGACAAAGACCTTATTGACCCAACTCTAGTCAGGCTCCTTTGAGTCCTCTTTTTGACTTGGTCCTGACTGTGGGCTCTTCTTGGCCAGTTTATTCCAGTTTTAGCAAGTATCTACCTTGACATCTGATCACCCTGGCTTAGCTTCAGAAAAATCCTGTTGGTTCGGTTTAGTAAAGAACTACTGCATGTCTTAGTAATTTTCTATCCACCAATATCCCCGCCCTACTCCTTGGCTATAAATCCCCACTTTTCCTTACTGTATTCAGAGTTGGACGCAATCTCTCTCCCCTACTATACAACTGCACTGTAGTAGCCTTCCTTGAATATGGTTCTCCTTCCCTTCTTTAACAAGTGCCTGAATGAGTTTCTTCCACTCTATGGAGCTGGAGTCCATAGCTCAATACTATTCCCTCTCTGGAGGGTTTTCTTCCTATTGGCTCTACTAAAATTTGGTGGGGTCGTCAGTTGGCAGGGGAGACTGTTCCCTTACGGTTCAGAGCCTTTTCTCATCCGGCCCCCGCCTCTACTCCCTTTCCCCACCATTCTGCCACGTTGGGCTACTTAGAACGCAAGGGCAGGCCTGTGCATTTGTATTCAGTATTCCTCTCTGAGTCTCTACTTCTCTGCTGGTTGAAATCCTAATCATTCTTCGAGACATGATTCAACTGTCACAACCTCTGTAAAACCTGCTGCAGTGCCCTCAGTACCAGCAACTGCTCCCTGCTGAGTCCCACAGCGCTGCATTTATATAGCTCTGTGGCAGCTTGTTTTCCAGGCTGACCCGAAGTCACTTCTGTGCAGAATGTCTGCCCCCCTCCCCTCCGGCCGGGACTGTGAGGTCCTGGAGGGAGGGAGCAAGTGTCAGTCATCTTTGCATCCCTTATGCTTACCTCTGTCCCACGCACACAGTAGGCCCTGAAAAATAAACACCTCTTGAGTTTGATGGTTTAAAGTATAGGAGAAAGTAATAGTGCCAGTACCATAGTGGCTGATTCATGTGTTTTCAAAAGTCCAGGCTTGTTTAAACCCATAACAGGTTCTATCCATCAAAAAAATGTCCTACTCACCAGTTCTGACTTAGAGAAATGTGGAAGCTATCAAAGAGAATTGATCAGTTTATAAAATATTTGTGGCCGTGTTGGCTTATGAGAACAAAACACAATCAATACCATTAATAGAACCAAAGGATTATAAAACAGAAATATAGGCCTGGGATTAAAATATTTTAAAAGTATACTCCTGATTCATGCCCCTTTGAGAGAGATGGATCTTTTCTTATTCATCTGTGAAGCTACCTGTGCATATCATGATACTGTGGCACATCATAGGTATTCAGTTTTGTTCTGGATTGAATGATGTGTGTGTGGAAATCACATTTTATCATTTTACACTGAGCAGTACAAAGAAAAAAATGCTTCTACCTTGTCCTGGGTCCAGCAGTAAAAGCCTTTAATAGGTCCAGAGAAATTATCTTTGTGCACTGACCAGAGCCATTTGCCAAACTCTGATTAAACGAAGCACACAGGTCACAAACGGGGCTGCAGGGCCCGCCCCACCCCCTCCCCCAGGCAGAGCCAGTCCCTGTCCTCAGCAATACCTAACAGCACGGGAGTTCTAAGGTTAGCATCTGTTTGGTATTCAGCAGGACTTGTGAAATGCATTCTGGCATCAGCAAAGGGAGTTCTTTCTTTCAAATGAAAAGCGTCTCTAGTTTTTCTCATCAATCGGCACAAGGTGGGTCGATGAGATGTGCGTAGGCCAATAAACTATCAGAAGAGTCATTATTTTCAACTGCCTTTTTTCATTATGTAGTCTCACCTACTCCATCTACAGATTTAACAGGACAACACAAACAGTGATGCCTTTTCCTCATTTAGGAACAGGAAGAGGATAAGATATCTACGTGGGCCGCCAGGAATGAGGGCCCGGAGCGATACTGTGCTGCACAGGCGCAAAGCGTCATGGCTCAAACTGCTTCTGCATTGAACTTTTGAAAACAAATGTGTTTGCTTCTTTCAAAGGAGACTCGAATGTTTTATCTGTAATTGGCCACAGTCAGAAAACATAGGATTATAATAGGGGAATCTCTCCATGTTAATTTTCTGGATTAAATTCTGGAAATCTGAAGAACTGGGCAACCTGTTGTTGATAAGATTGATAAGTCATTACAGTTTCCCTCTTGTCTCTAAGTTCACATTTCAGACTTTGCAACATTCTAGGAAACTCTGAGTCTTTTATTCACTGTGTTACAGAAAGCTGCTTGGAAAGAAATAGCTCTTTCAAGTCCTTTTGCCAAGACCTTATATAGTTTTCAAGAACTTGTTCTTTTCAGTGCCAAGGTGTTGTGTTTTTCATTCTGAAAATGTAAAGGACAGAGAGTGGGCCTTTCTCAGAGAGAATACGCCGCGTAATGCATGTGGGTTAGTGGCACCATGACTGCCATAAAGAACGGTTACATTGGGATGTGTGGGAGAGATGCTTTTCCCAGGATTAGGAAAGTCTTCCTAAATGGTTTACCTCTCTAAATGCATGAAATATACTTACATTCTGGAAATCATTAACTTCAATTGCTTCTTCAGCTCCACTTCCCATTTTAAAGGTCTCCAGGTTGTTTCCAGCATCTATTTCCATTGACCCGTCTTGTAATTTCCCATTGATACTCATGGTATAATGGACATTGTAAATCTGGAAGTGAACGTAGAGGTCAGCGAAGCTTTCCTTTTTAGAGAAATTCAGGGCTTATCTTTAGATGTGCAGTATATGAAGTAGCTATCATATTTGTTAGAGATACATTGAATCATTGCTAATAGTAGCATATTTAGATATGAGGACGCCATCCATACGCCCATTACTTAATACGGTGATTTCTTTGAAAATATCTTCCAAGTAAAACCTTTGGTAGAATTAGTCTACTAATTCAAATAGCTCAGTGATTTGCAATCCTGGCTGCATATAGAAGTATCTGAGGAGAATCTCTACCTACCATACATGCGTTTCCCCTGAAAGAATCAAATCAAAACCTGTGGGAATGGGGCTTGGGCACAGATCTTTCTTTTTCTAAGCCAATTAATTCTACTTTGCAGCCAGAGTTAAAACCCATCGATAGATGGTTAACCGGATTGTTAACTGAACAAGTCTGCAGCTGCCACCTCAATTTGAAAGTTTATTTTTAATTTTTAAAATGTTTATTTATTTTTGAGAGGTGGGGGGGAGGAGCATAGAGAGAAGGAGACACAGGATCCAAAGCAGGCTCCAGGCTCCGAGCTGCCAGCACAGAGCCTAAGGCAGGGCTTGAATCCCGAACTGCTAAATCATGACCTGAGCTGAAGTCAGATGCCTAACCAACTGAGCCACCCATGTGCCCCAATTTGAAAGGTTTTTAAAAATCCGTTGGTTAAGATTGGGCACGGAGTATGGTATATAGTCAGGACTAGACAGGACTGGGATATGTATGATACAGGCAGAGCAGCATTTGTGGAGAGCAAGGTCAATGTGCACATCTGTTTCAGCTCAGAGTGGGAGTTATTCATTTTAATGACTATGGGACAGGCATGTGGTGTTGTAGGGCATATTGTTATGAGACGTGTGGGGGAAGAAGGGATGGAGACTTGGGCTCAACAGAGAGCACTGGCCCAGGAATCAGAAAAATGAGTGCCCACCCCACGTATCACTGGGTCTTGAGAGTTGCCTTGGGCATAAAATGAAGAAGTTGGCCCTCATAGATTGTTCTCATTTATGTCCTTGGAGCTCTGAAGTTTCACAGAGGTGGCCCACAGGTGAGGGTGGCAGAGCACGTGGGGCTATGACATGGTCCTTTCTCTCCTGTTCATCTGCAATTTAACCAGGTGGCTCTGCTTGTTGTCTCCTTTGTTTTGGATTTCTTTTCTAAAATTTCTTTTTAAATTTTTTAAAAATTTACATCCAAGTTAGCATATAGTGCAACAATGATTTTAGGAGTAGATTCCTTAATGCCCCTCATCTATTTAGCCCATCCCCCCTCCTACAAATCTTCTGGTAACCCCGTCTGTTCTTCATATTTTAGAGTCTCTTATGTTTTGTTCCCCTCACTGTTTTTATATTATTTTTGCTTCCCTTCCCTTATGTTCATCTGTTTTGTATCATATGAGTGAAGTCATATGATATTTGTCTTTCTCTGACTAATTTTGCTTAGCATAATACCCTCTAGTTCCATCCACTTGGTTACAAATAGCAAGATTTCATTCTTTTGATTGCCAAGCAATACTCCATTGTATATATACACCGTACCTTCTTTATCCATTCATCCATCAACGGACATTTGGGCTCTTTCCATACTTTGGCTATTGTCCATAGTGCTGCGATAAACATTGGGGCGCATGTGTCCCTTTGAAAAAGCACACCTATATCCCTTGGGTAAGTACCTAGTAGTGCAATTGCTGGGTCGTAGGGTAGTTCTATTTTTAATTTTTTGAGGAACCTCCATACTGTTTTCCAGAGTGGCTGCACCAGTTTGCATCCTCACCAGCAGTGCAAAAGAGATCCTCTTTCTCTGCATCCTCATCAACATCTATTGTTGCCTGAGTTGTTAATGTTAGCCATTGTGACCAGTGTGAGGTGTATCTCATTGTGGTTTTGATTTGTATTTCCCTGATGATGACTGATGTTGAGCATTTTTTCATGTGTTGGTTGGCCATGTGGATGTCTTCTTTGGAGAAGTGTCTATTCATGTCTTTTACCCATTTCTTCATTGGATTATTTGTGTTTGGGGTGTTGAGTTTGATAAGTTCTTTATAGATTTTGGATACTAACCCTTTATCTGAAATGCTGTTTGCAAATATATTCTCCCATTCTGTTGGTGCCTTTTAGTTTTGCTGATTGTTTCCTTTGCTGTGCGGAAGGTTTTATTTTGATGAGGTTCCAATAGTTGATTTTTGCTTTTGTTTCCCTTTCCCCCAGAGATGTGTTGAGTAAGAAGTTGCTGCAGCTGAGGTCAAAGAGGTTTTTGCCTGTTTTCTCCTCTAGGATTTTGATGGCTTCCTGTCTTATATTTAGGCCTTTCATCCATTTTGAATTTATTTTTCTGTATAGTGTAAGAAAGTGGTCCAGTTCATTTTTCTGCATGTCGCTGTCCAATTTTCCCGGCACCATTTGCTGAAGAGCCTGTCTTTATTCCATTAGATATTCTTTCCTGTTTTGTCAAAGATTAGTTGGCCATACATTTGTGGGTCCATTTCTGGGTTCTCTATTCTGTTTCATTGATTTGAGTGTCTGTTTTTGTGCCAGTACCATACTGTCTTGATGATTATAGCTTTGTAATACAGCTTGAAGTCTGGGATTGTGATACTTCCAGGTTCGGTTTTCTTTTTCAAGATTGCTTTGGCTATTCATGGTCTTTACTGGTTCCATACAAATTTTAGAATTGTTTGTTCTGCTCTGTGAAGAATGCTGGCGTTGTTTTGATAGGGATTGCATTGAATATATAGATTACTTTGGGTAGTATTGACATTTTAACAATATTTGTTCTTCCTATCCAGGAACATGGAATATTTTTCCATTTTTTTGTGTCTTCTTCAATTTCTTTCATAAACTTTCTATAGTTTTCAGTGTATAGATTTTTCACCTCTTTGGTTAGATTTATTCCTAGGTATTTTATGGTTTTAGGTGCAATTGTAAATGAGATCGATTCCTTGATTTCTCTTTCTGTTGCTTAATTGTGTATAGCAATACAACAAATTTCTGTGCATTGATTTTATATCCTGCGACTTTGCTGAATTCATGGATCAGTTCTAGCAGTTTTTTGGTGGAATCTTTTGGGTTTTCCATACAGAGTATTATGTCATGTGGGAGGAGTGAAAGTTTGACCTCCTGGCCAATTTGGATACATTTTATTTCTTTGTGTTGTCTAATTGCTGAGGCTAAGAATTCCAATACTATGTTGAATAATAGTGGCAAGAGTGGACATCCCTGTCTTGTTCCTGACCTTAGGGGGAAAGCTTTCAATTTTTCCCCAGTGAGGATGATATTAGGTTTGGTTCTTTCATATATGGCTTTTATGATCTTGAGATATGATCCTTCTATCCCTCCTTTCTTGAGGGTTTTTAATCAAGAAAGATGCTGTATTTTGTCAAATGCTTTCTCTGCATCTGTTGGGAGGATCATGTGGTTCTCATCCTTTCTTTTATTGATGTGATGAATCATATGGATTTTTTGTGGATATTGAACCAGCCCTGCATCCCAGGTATAAATCCTGCTTGGTCGTGGTGAATAATTTTTTAGAACTATTGTTGGATCCAGTTAGCTAATATCTTGTTGAGGAATTTTGCATCCATGTTCATCAGGGAAGTTGGTCTATTGTTATCTTTTTTAGTGGGGTCCTTGTCTGGTTTTGTAATCAAGGTAATGCTGGCTTCATAGAAAGAGTTTAGATGGGGGCGCCTGGGTGGCTTAGTCGGCTAAGCGTCCGACTTTCGCTTAGGTCATGATCTCGCGGTTCGTGGGTTCGAGCCCCGCGTCGGGCTCTGTGCTGACTGCCAGCTCGGAGCCTGGAGCCTGTTTCAGTCTGTGACTCCCTCTCTCTCTGACCCTCCCCTGTTCACGCTGTCTCTCTCTCTCTCCTAGAAATAAATAAAAAAAAAAAAAAAAAGAAAGAAAGAAAGAGTTTAGATGTTTTCCTTCCGTTTCTATTCTTTAGAACAGCTTCAAGAGAATAGCTATTAACTCTTCCTTAAATGTTTGGTAGAATTCCCCTGGAAAGCCATCTGGCCTTGGACTCTTGTTTTTTGGGAGATTTTTGATTACTAATTCAATTTCTTTACTGGATATGGGTCTGTTCAAATTTTCTATTTCTTCCTGTTTCAGTTTTGGTAGTTTATATGTTTCTAGGAATGTGTCCATTTCTTCCAGATTGCCCATTTTATTGGCGCATAATTGCTCATAATAGCCTCTCATTATTCTTTGTATTTCTGCTGTGCTGGTTGTGCTCTCTCCTCTTTCATTCTTGATTTTATTTATTTGGGTCCTTTCCTTTTTCTTTTTGATTAAACTGGCTAGTGGTTTATCAATTTTGCTAATTCTTTCAAAGGACCAGCTTCTGTTTTCATTAATCTGTTCTACTGTTTTTATTGGTTTCGATAGCATTGATTTCTTCTCTAATCTTTATTATTTCATGTCTTGTGTTGGTGTGGGGTTTTATTTGCTGTTCCTTTCCTGGCTCTTTAAGGTGTAAGGTTAGGTTGTGTATCTGAGACCTTTCTTGCTTCTTTGGGAAGACCTGGATTGTTAAATACTTCCCTCTTATGGCCACCGTTGCTATGTCCGAGAGGTGTTAGGCTGTGGTGTTATCATTTTCATTGGCTTCCATGTACTTTTTAATTTCCTCTTTAATTTCTTGGTTAGCCCATTCATTCTTTAGTAGGATAGTCTTTAGTCTCCAAGTATTTGCTATCTTTTCACATATTTTCTTGTGTTTGATTTCGAGTTTCATAGCATTGTGGTCTGAAAATAGGCATGGTATGAGCTCAATCTTCTTGTACTTATTGAGGGCTGATTTGTGACCCAGTATGTGATCTATTCTGGAGAATGTTCATTTGCACTGGAGAAGAGTGTGTATTCTGCTGCTTTAGGATGAAATGTTCTGAATATATCTGTTAAGTCCATCTGGTCCAGTGTGTCATTCAAAGCCATTGGTTCCTTGTTGATTTTCTGAT